GTGTGTGTGTGTGTGTGTGTGTGTGACCCTGGACCAAAAAAACAGCCTTAAGTAGCACGGGTATATTTGTAGCAATAGCCATTGTATGGGTCAAAATTATTGATTTTTCTTTCATGCCAAAAATCATTAGGATATTAAGTAAAGATCATGTTCCATGAAGATATTTTGTAAATTTCCTACCGTAAATATATCAAATCTTAATTTTTGATTAGTAATATGCAATGCTAAGAACTTAATTTTGTGCACCCTCAAATTCTACATTTTCAAATAGTTGTATCTCAGCCAAATATTGTCCTATCCTAACAAACCATACAACAATGGAAAACTTATTTATTCAGAAATTTAAAAAGAAAATTGATCCTTATGACGGGTTTTGTGGTGTATATATATACGGGATGGAAATGAGAAAGATAGTCAATTTGTAAACAACGCTTTTGTGATATACCTTTATAGAAGATGTTATTGCCTCTGAATGTGAAGAAGTGACCGGAAGAGTGCCAGGTGTTGAGCACAGGTGAGAGCTGTGGCGGAGGGATATGCAGATACACGGCGAGCAGAGGAATACACAACAGACCCACGTGAAGCCACCACTCCCTGCTGACACGACGGGCCGATCCGCACTCACTTTCATTCTGCTGCAGACAGGGTAGGTTTTTATTTTATTGCTTTTTATTGTATTGTATTAACATAGTAAATTGGTATTTTATTGCTGGAGAGAGAGAGGTAGAGAAGAGCACTTGTCAAAGGAAGTACAACATCATAACGCGAATTAAACTGGCAGGGCAGCCTTGCTATGATAGTAAAATTCAAACTGTAAGCAAAATAACAACTGCCATATAATGCGTACTAGTCAAGAGAAACGCACTTAATGCGTAAAGTTACTTACAGGTGAGTCGTCGGACATTCTCGGTTCCTGCGCTTTATCACAGTGTGTGTCGGTTGTTTTCGCGGATGGGCTGAAATATGTGCTGTTGAGTGACATTAAGAGTCTGTCACTGAGCCGTCATCTGCACAATCCGTACTTGCATGGCCTTAAAACGTTCTGTTGCGACTGTTATCGAGCGTTGTGTTGCCAAGGATCCAAAGGTCTAGGGCTCAAAGTAATGCTCGCGTACGCCCCTAGTGGAGCGGATGGTAAACAGCAATAATATCTACCAGAGGAACCGTGTTTGTTTGGCCGCTGCATCCAAAACGTCTAGCTTGCTGAAACAGTCGTATACTCAAGCGAAAGTCCATATATATATATTAATTTAAATGTAGGGCAAGTGAAAAAAACAGGTGATCACTGGTTCCCTTTTTGGTCAGTAAGTTTACCACAGTAAGTTACATGAAACGCCAAACTCGATGTGGACAGTGGCATGTGTGAGAGGACACATATTTCCATTTTTAGAGTTTTTTAATATTAAGTTATTATTTTTAATATAAATTATTCTTATTCTTATTAATTAATTTATTTTAGCCCAGCAGATCAACATGGAATCTACCAGGGGGCTGTTTCATAAAACAACTTTACCAACCAAGCCAGGCTTATTTCAGCTATTCTGACTAATTTTGACCCAAATCAACTGACAATAAGTCATACTAACTTTTATGAAACAGGCCCCAGGTCTACTTGAGATCACAGTTCTCAGCTAATGGGGGCAATACAATATAATACTCGATGTGTTGTCATAAACACAAATAATACGGGACAAAAGCTCTTCCAAAACTCTTTGAATGGTTTGTTTATGAGTGAGGTAGCCTAGATGTTATTCACAGTTGTTTTTGTCTTGTCGTGTTGGTGTTTGCAGATTCAGTCAGCACTTATAGTAAAGCTTGGTTGGATGTTTGTAATCCATGACAGAAGGATTACGATTATTAAAGCCTGTATCAAAATGACTTCTGATATTCGGTAAGACATGTTCCTGGATCAAATTGTTTTGTTGGAGAAAAAAAACAAACAATTTTTTTGTTTGGACATTATTTTCCAAAACATAGACCTAACCCTATCCCTACCCCTACCACTAAACCTAACTCTACCCATAATGTATCCCTAAAATCAGAGGGAAATGCTAGTTGAATAACAAGGGTGTAGAAGCACCTAACTCTGGCTGTAAGGCTAAAACTGACATTTCCTGTAAACTCATCCCTCAATTCTGATTGGTTGCTTGAAATGTTGTTCCAGGATCAACAAGGATGTTGCATTTTGCACTCAGTGAAATCACATTCGCTGTGTTGCCAACTAATTTTCAGAAGTTGCTAAAGGCAGGACAAATTGTTGCTAAAAGTTGCTAAATGACATTGTGATGCAAATGCATCAATCATTATGTAATCACACCACAAAACTGCATAGAATATACAATCAGATCACTCAAATATGATTATGAATATGATTTGAAATGTTAATTTAGAGTTGTTAGTAAAACTAAAATATGAATATAATAATATTAAAATATAAATATTTTTTTAAATACAACATTGAATTATTGAACATTTACACTTTTGAACGATTATATTTTATGTAGGCCTATTTTCTTACTAGAAACTAGTAAAACTACACATTCTGAACAATTATATTTTTAAGCAGTGTATTGGTAGTTAGTATGCTACACTTCAAGAAAAGTCTGTAAAATAGGGCACAAAGTACTGTGATAATTTGAAGGAATTTTCTGTATTGGTTTTTCAAAATGTTCTACAATACTTTTTTAACTGATCAACAAGTGCAGGTACAAACTAATAACAAGGTGTTATCATAAAGTAACTATTATTATTGAACAATTGCTACTAGCAACTTAATTGACGTGATTAAATTACGTGTAATTTTGTGTAATTTAGAGAAAAAAATTGTGCCTTTTTATCATGTCACAGTTGCTAAATAAATTTTAAAAATAGCTAAATTTGTTGCTATGTGTTTTTTGAAGAAAAGGTTGCTAGTGTAGTCTGAAAAGTTGCTAAATCTAGCAACAAAATTGCTAAGTTGGCAACACTGTCAGTGACAACGGAGAGAATTTTAAGGAATGAAACAAAGAGGAATAGCATGGGTTGGTGATGATATGTTAATATGACCCAGGTGAATCATTTTGATGAACAACCCACTTTCATGTTATTTATATACATATATAATATAATAATAGTCTGGCTTTGATCATCTTTAGTACTAATCTGTTCTGTGTTCCTAATAGACTTTAGTCCGGCTAGACGCCAGGACAGAATTAGAGTCTCACAACTTTCAAAAAGGTTTTATGGATATTTTTTGTACTAAAAGTGTTTTTGGCAAGGTGTTGCATCAGCTGAACAACATCTCGTTAAACTGCAGTACAGAGGTGTAAAGTATTGGAGTAAATGTAATTAGTTACTGTACTCCGTGATTGCTCTCCTCACAAATCAACTCTTTCTTGTTTTTATTTCGTGCTCTCTGTGCCTTGGCCTGGACTTTTATGTTACTTCCTGTCTCCCGTGGTGTTTGTAGTCAGTTTGTAGTCCGTTTGTTAATTGGTTCCCCTTGATTAGTCTCCCCAGGTGTGTCTTATCTTGTTAAGCTTGTTAGCCCCCTCTTTTACTCAAGTATGGTTTTTAGGTACTCTTTACACCTCTGCTGCAGTATAATCCATTGAACACACTGTACTTGTACACTACTATGTGAAACATTTTCTGGATGTGCTAGAAGAAGGAATGCCAGAATGCAATCATTTAAAGGGGTCATATGATGTTGCTAAAAAGAAGTGTATTTGGTGTAATGAAATGTTTATGCGGTTTAAGTTTCAAAAAACACGTTATTTTCCACATACTGTACATTATAGTTTCTCCTCTATGCCCCGCCTTTCTGAAACGCGTCGATTTTTACTAAGCTCTATCCAGTGCGTTGTGATTGGCCGAATACCTCAAGCGTGTGACGGAAATGTTACGCCCCTCACCATATTGTGTACTGTGATGCGGCCGGAGCGACGAGACAAAAACATTAAAACCCATTATAAACGAGGCAATTGTTGCATCTTGCATCCACATAATTACGGATTATAATGACTTATACTGTCTTTTTACGCGTTGCATAGCAATGCAATGCAAATGCAGGTCTGCATTTGTGATCGGAGAAATGACAAACAACAAGCGCTACTCTACACTGCTCAAAACTCGCGTTTGAATTGT